TGATCTGCTACAGCAGTCATCATTGGTGGAACATGGGAAGCTAGTAGGGTGATATAATAGGAGTGGTCCCGAGAAAGGATATCCAAGATTTGAAAACAAGGAGACCTGGACCAGTGTCTCCTGGATGAGAAACACAAAATCTCACCACGGAATTGTCAGAGTGAAGCCTGATGATTTTCCCCTTAATAAGCCCAGTCCATGAGGCATTGCCTTTTGAAGAGCAAGAAAGACTAAAACATTGTGTAGGGAAGTCTCGTGGTCCTTGCATAGACCGTGGAATTCCTGAATGTTGAAATATGTATCCCATCCCTGAAGCGAGGAATTCTTGAAAAGGTGACAGCAGAGAAACCCATATCTTATTAGTGTCCCAACTTAACAACCCATCGAGTTCAAAGAATGATCCTGACTAAGAAAACTGGAAAATTCAGTGAATCTATATTTATGATCTCTTGGTCGCATAAAGACCATTAAAAGGATCTCTTGTTCTCTCATCCCTTAGGCATGAAGAATTTGAGCAAAAGTCAGGCTTCCTGTTCCATACGCAGAGCCAGGTGGGAGTCAGCTGAGCAATACTGGGAGACATGATTAAAAAGAATATCTAGACTGATGACATATTGAGTTGGAGCAAGAACAGATATCTCAGCTCTGAGAATGAAGCCTTGCCTTGGTTGTTTCTGAAAGTAGAATGAGGGTGTGATGTTTTGACAATTGATGAGATGTGCACCAGTAACCAATCATCTATGGAATGGTGTGTGCACAGTGCTGTGGAATGGAAATGATGAGAACCTATGTGAAGCTGATGTTAGTCCAAAGGTAAAAATCCCGAACTGCAGTACCTAACCCTTGTGCACAAAAAACTCCAATAGTGGTGGCATCCCACCACTATAACAATGTGCAGATATGGGCCAACTACAAAGAACTTGGATATCCACAATCCCAGTAAAAAAATGTCAACTTAGATTGAGGAATGAGTAACTTGTGAACCTTGGAGAATCTAGGCATTGATATAGACTGGACACCAGCCTCCTGTCTTCTTTGGCCCAACAACTGATGGAAATAAAACTCCGGAAGAACTCTCACAACTCTCACACTACCACCAGACCAACCAAACTCTGATAGCCCTAGAACAACGTTCCAAATCTCAAGGATCTGTGGGAGTTGGAAACACTACAGATTGGGTGGATAATAGTGGTGAAGATGTGAACTGAATGACTAATCTGACTCAAGGACCTGTACTGCTCCTGGATTTGTGGTTAAGGTTACCAAATGTCCAATAATTCTAGAGCTAAGCCACCACAGACCCCAAAGGCATACAATAATCACCAATGCCACTGGTGGTGATCTGACCCAGCAGCAAAACCCTTGGATATAGTAGACAGATTTTATTCTGGGTACCAATGTATCAAGGTGCTGATGTCAGGACCCTCAAATAGGTGCCAGACTATGACCCCTTGTAGGAGCTGATGAAATTCTAGAAGCCGACAATTGAGCTAATGTGCATGCTAACAATGGATCCAGCTTGTAATCAATGAGGTTGGTAATTCTGAGAGTCTTCCAATAATGTGTAGTGTAAGGAAAACAAAATGCTGAATTTTTGAGTTGTAAGTCTGTAGACTTACCCTGTCCAACCAGGGTACATTGATTTATTCAGGTTAACTACAAATTATGACTTAAAACCCCAAATTCGAGGAGCAGATTATTATTTGAGAGTCAGAATATGCTTCCAACTGGCAGTGGTGGGCTAAATCACTAATTTCTGATAACATGCCAGATGAGATAATAACTGTCCCTTCACATAACTGAGATGTAAACCTCTCTACATAAACCACATTTCTGTGGATGGAAAGAAAAGTAATATTCGCTCCTAGACCTGTCAGCCATCAGGTAAGGAGTAGGTTCAAAAGCAACTTGGAAAAGACTCAAAACACCACACTCTTGAGGAACCAACTGAAGAAAACAAATCAAAGGCAGCTTTTCCCAAAGTTGCCTCCTTTTAGTTTTATATTTAATTTAAAGACTTTGATGATTACTGTCGATTGGAACAACATTTAGTCAGGTGAGTCTGTTTTGTTAGAGCAAAGCAACATTGGGCTATCTACTGTACCCACCATAGGAAATCAAACCCCGGATTCCAGCATTGCAAATCCATAAACTCACAACTGTCCCACAGGGTGACTCAAAAGCAAACAGACTTTATAAAAGAAGGCACAGGAAAAAGTGAATCTAAATTCTATCCAGAATGTTAAGGATCACCCTCAACTGCAGCCACAGAGCCCCCCGGAGGACTGCCACAGAACTGAATATATGTCTTCATCTAATTATGAATAAGATCACTGACAGTCTCAACCAAGAGTGACACTCCCATCCCACCTGATTGTTCAACTAAGCTATATATCAAATGTGCGAAATGATATACTTGAAATAATCTAGGAATTCATACAGTAAATTGGCTTGTCAATCAAAAAAAAAAATCATTTTTTTGCAAAAATCAACTAGTTAACATGAAAATGCTCAATGTATCTTTCAATGATCGTAGCACTGGGAAACCTGTTAGTGATGCTTCGTTGAGAAAAATTTATAATATTATCTGAATGAGGTGCTTATATACTGTACCAAGATAGGGGGCGCTTTGATGTAGATGATGAGTGTCACGATACAAATATCGCCAAGGGCAATTAAGTTGGGCATAAAAGACTGGAGAAAGTGAGAGAAAATCAGACCAATGCTTAGATGGGAAAAGGAAGTAACCCTGGCAGGCGAGTAATAGCTGTAAGTGTGAGATAAGTATGTTTTAGAATGACTGTTCTCTGTGTTTATTCCACTCAAGCAAACACCCTTGAGTTAATTAAACTTGTAGCAACTACAACTGTAAGCTGGTATTCTTATTTTAATACAATATTTAACTGTGTCAAATACAACTTACACTATTGCCCCAATATAAACCATCCACTTAGGTGACTCCATAGTTGTTTTGTCTCCATGTTGGTGAATAATCTTGATTCTCAAAGTTGTTGTTAATATACAAACTTTGAAGCTAATAACATGCTAAAAATTAAAACTTCATGGTTAAACAAAAAGTTAAACATTTTATACAATTTCCGTTTTTGGTATTTATGATTTTATATTTACATAGATATATCAATTTTTAAACAAATTCTAATGTACAGAGGTTAAGTACTTTATATTAAAACAACTTTGGTGCCTAAACTACATCAATAGTTTATTTTTGGTCACACTGTATGATGACCATGCATCTTGACAATTGTCCTGCAGTATATTCTATACAGTGTAAGCTCCATCATAACACTATCATATCTAAAGCACATCACTATTTCCTGAAAGCATTACACAATTCATACAGTACATAAGGACATAACTTTCCCAGTGCTTGTTTGAACAGTCCAACTGCACAGAAATCTATAGGAGCTGGCAACTTGACTATATGTCTTCATAAAGAATAGCATGAATCCCTTTTTTGTTCTTTAGCTGCTACTGTTAAATGTATATGTCATGGATGTAATATGTGTACATGTGACACGTTGCTTTTTCAGACAGAGATGAGATCAAGAAGGATCTTGACTAGCTGGAATGGTTGCTTGGAAAACATGTATAGTATTTTGTATTATTGGGCTCTCACTTGTTACAAGACAACACATGTCTCTTTCTGGATGGCCCTGGTGCCCCAGGTTAATCCATATTCCTTTGTTTTACAATGCCATTAAATACAAGGGATATCCTACTCTTGGAAATTATAAATTTCCAATCTGAACACATATTTATGACCTGAACATATAAATATTTTTCATCAAAAAGGGCAATAACATCTCCTACCCCAAAACAATCAATTTTTGGTTGCATCACATTACCTTCTTGTCACATAGTTAGAAAGCCAGAAAAACTGTGATAGTTATGGGACATAGTCTGTTTTTTGCATGTTATTATTCTTTATTCTTTGGTGCATTATTTAGTGTGCTTCTACCATTAGTATAAAAAAATGATTAAGTGTCCTCAACAGTGAACAGCAAAAAAAGAATGTTCAGGTAAGTACTTTATTTCTTGTTTTTCATGTGTACTCTATATTTATTATTATAAGAGTAACTAAAATGTAAAAACAGGAAACTCTTTATGTTAGTGAAGGTTAGATTAGTTAAAATAAATAATAACAATCATATAATAAAACATTTTAACGAGACACCAACAAGAGCAGCTTGGAGTAATGTAATTTGATAGTGTAACATGAGCCCCACTTTCCCCAAGTGATATATAACTTATAATGATGCAAATAGTAGTTAGACATGGTTCAAAAGGCAATAAAACAATAAAATTTAAGTATAAATAGATGTATATTGCTATGAGTGTAAAGCTACTTAGGATAAACAAATGTAGTTTCATGTTACAATTTGAAGTCATTCTAGAAAGAAGAAAAGGGTAATTTAGATTTATTTCGGTTTTTCTTTCGGTGGCTACATGGTCGGTGAAATTGACCAACCTTGTATAGTTAGAGTAAAGAGAAAAAACAGTTAAAATATAGTTTTACTGAAAACAAACATTTCAAATGTATCAAGGAGGTTTTTAGATTATGCAAATGAAATTTGAGATTTTTGAGATAAAGAAAAGTATTTTAATCTTAACATGAAAATCACGTTGCACTTGGACTAATAAAAAAGAAGACTTGATATATTCACGGACAAATATTTTTGTATATAAAAAACTTGTAATGTTTACTGAAAGTTTGCCAAATTTTGTGAAAATATGCATACTATATTAAAAGTTAGTATTTTTATCAAAACTATAGGGACTTTAAATGAGTACAAAGTGATCACACGGTTGGTTAAATCAACCGAGGCTGTGAAGAGAAAATGAATAGTAACAATAAAGTAACAAATTAGTAATTAGGTGATTGTATAGACTACTAATCATAACAATGACCATTTACAGTCATTTGTGTTATGTTTCATAATAATTTAACAAGAAAACTCAACTCCAAATGTGGTACTCACCTCTTGTTTCCAAATTCCAATAATATGTATTACCTTCAGGACTCACACCTTGAAACCATCTTTTCACCTTTGTTTTAATTTCTGAAGGACAAACATTAGTGTTTTTAAAACAATCTGGTGATGGCTCACATGTCTTCTTTGGTACAGGCTGATTTTTAATCTCTCTAATAAGTTCAGGGTTCTGCTGTACATCCTTTTCAAAAGCTTTTAGGGCTTCCTGATACATAAAGAATAAAGATTAGATTTTAAAACCCTACAGCTTTTCATATTATGACTAGCATTAAGTTTCTTTAACATATTAAAAATTCAAATTTGAGTCATGATACAAAATTCTGAAATTTGTTGGTCTGTACAGCAATTGTATACGACTATTACTATGCTAGAAAACATAAGATTGCTTCACCACTGATTAACAACATTTGTTTACAACTAGAAGAACATATTAAAATCTGACAAAATATATATATTTGTGGTATTCTACTGAATTCTCATTCTTATCTAACCCCACAAAAGTGAATATCTGGCCATTGATATATGCTCTTTCTATCCTTTTTAACACTAAAAACCATCACCAGCAATGTTGATGTTGTGAGTACTCACCCCATCTGCAAAACTTTTAATTAGTCATCAGAACAATTTTATAAAACCCATTTTTCAAAAGCTTGAATTAGTCATCCAAGTTTTCGCACTTAAAGAATTTTCAGAACTCAATAAAACATGTAATTTGTAAACAAAATTTCAGAAAATTACAAAACAAACATATTCAAAACTAAAATAAAAACATGTTCAAACATGTTTATTGCATATACATTTTCTTTAAAATATTTTTATAGGCATAAAACAACATAAACAATACATTGTAAAATAGCTTTACATGTAATTTATGATTTTAAAATGTTGCAGTAGAAAAAGCTTTTTGTTAAATATGAACAACATATACATTAACATACATCCATAACAGTCATTCATAGTAGGCCTTACATCTATAACTGTTTTTTACAAATTGCTTTTTCTTCTTCATGTTCATAAAAATGGATGGACAGACATCCATTTTCCCTGAATTATATTATTCTGATAGTAGAATGAGTCAAATTTTGAAAAATATATAGAGTTGTGGTACTTCAAGCCATGATTAAAAACTAAGGACTGTTAAATTTATAGGGAAAAATTGTTTAGAAACTTCCTTGCAAACAGCATTTTGTGCCTTTAGGGACATAAATTTTGAACTTATCAAATGACCATATCCTATACAAAGCTACGTGAAGCTGACCATGATAAAAAATTGGGCCAACTGAGTGCAACTGATGGACAGACATCTGTTTTCTCATATTATTATTGTAAGATTCTCAGTACTATGATGGGTTTAGTCTGCTCCACCTATCAAATAAACTTTATTTTCAATACAATAACTAAATTTAAAAAAAGTGAATGGAAAAATATTTAAAGTCATAGTATTCAAAATTAATTAAAATGAGTTATTAATTTTCAGACAATCAGACATGCTGTCATGAAACTTTTTTATATCATGAAAGGAAAAAAAAGTCTAAATATAACACACTAAACAACTAAAAACTGCCAGAAAAACAAATTTCATGGTAGCTCATTATTAACATATCAAAAAGTACTGGGCTGAATACCTTTCAAGACTTCTGTGATCATATGCCTGAAACTCAAAAATTGAAAAAAGTACAGAATAAATGCAATTAAACTAGTAATGCAAATGTTATGGGTAAGATGTTTCCAAACCACAGTATATAAAATGTACTAACCTCCTATTCAAAAAACTCCTATTCAATAAATAACTGGTTAATTATTTTCATACGATAATAAAGAAAATAAGAAAAGCATACATAAAATGTGATATATGCACCCATCAATGACTTCAGGAGAAATTCACTGAACATAAAAAATAGGCTACCATGAAATATAATGCAGCTTCAGTTTAAATTCAGTCTCATGATTATTATCAAATTTTACAACTGTAAGGTGAATGCCAAAAATGGACAACTTAAAACAATTTTCAGCTTATAGTCAGTCATATGATTAAATTGTGTGATGAAATATTATAACTTACAGATATAAAAAAAATTAATAATACTTAATTTTAAGCAATATGAGTAACAAAAATTAACAAGTAGGTGAATAACAAAAAATACAAAATGGTATAAAAATATCAGATAAGAATCTCCGAAAGTAAAACTGACAGAAGAAAATGGGAGAAAATATTTGCTATGAAAAATAATAAAATAATGGTAATAACATTCATGGTATTTGTTATAACTGGAATTATAAATTTAAAAATAAGCCAAGTATGAGGATTAATAAGTGAAACAACAAAAACTGAAGATTTTTAAAAGTCCATTAAATAACATAATTCAGATAATAAAGAATTTAATCAATCTCCACAAAAAAATAAGTAACGAACTTTATATCTAAGACCTTCAAATAGTCTTGAACTAAAATTTAGTACTCATTCGTCTTGCCATGATACAAGATTTGATTGTTGTTGTTGAGCACAAAGTTACACAATGGGCTATTAGTGCTGTGGCCACCACGGGTATCGAAGTGTTATAAGCCTTCAGACTTACTGCTGAGCTACTGAAGGATCACATATTAGTCAATTATTATTTAGCTCCAATATGGGTACAACAAAACAAAACAATGATTACAGTGGTTACTGAAAGTGAAAGGGCACGTGAAAGCTAAGCCCTTAGAATTTGTGTTATTTAAGTACAGAATTACTTTGTATATTTAAGTGTTTTAAACTCACAAAAAGAAACCTATCATTCTATAGGTATTTGAAGAGCTTGTAACATTTCGCTACAATTTAATTATTCATATTGTTAGCCGACATTAGGCAGCTTGTACATAATTGAATAAACAGAGTTGTTTAACAACAAGT